CGGACGAGGTTCCGCCGAAGGGCAGAATCTCGTTCGGGGTTAGAATGACCCTACCCGATCTCGTTTTTGCGAGTTATACGGGCATTTTTTGGCCGAGCCTACGGGCTCGTTCGGGGAAACCCACGTTAAACTTTTGCGGCCTTTTTGTGCCACATGCAACCCTCGTGGTGGGGTGGCTAGATACAGAATCGAGTCGAGCCAATTGTAGTTCACTCTAAACCAGACTGACAGTCATACTAACACCTTCCACATCTTGTATTATTATTTCGTGTAATATACCTTCGTTATTTCTACTCTTGTGTTCGTGTTGTTCTTCCTTGGTCCTAACCTGGACCATAAAATTTATAAAATGGTAAATAATAAAACATTATAAAAGGTAGATAATAAATATCCCATTGTACTTGGTTCACATATTTATCTGATCTTGTAAATGAATATCGAAGAAGTAATAGCGGTGTCAAGGCAATAACCGTCCTTTTGACATACCGTTTTTGTTTTGTTTTTTTGGTTTTTTTCTGGCACGAAAGTTAAATATTATCATTTATTGTTTGTTGCTTCTTTTTTCGCCTCCTCATCAATGTTTTCTTCTTTTTTTTTTTCTCTTTGTTTTATTTTTTTTTTTTCCCCATTATATCGTCATCAATTATCTACCCTCTGACAAGGGCAGATAACTCCTGGTACAGAAAATACATTTACAAAGTATAATGAACTCTTGTAGTCATATTCTTTTACTTAGTAACTACATAAATCACTGAGAGTCAAAAGTAAACGTTATATTTTTTATATGGCCATAAATGAGGGGAGGTTTTGTCAGATTACAGACAATGTTTTTACTTCGATTTCCCAGAAAAAAAAAATCTCCAAACAAAAATTAAACAATACTTAATTTACACGACACATCCTGAGAGGAAACTCACAGGCAACGCCTTTCTTCTTGAATTTCCGCTTATAAACACCCAGCTCATCTTCTTGCTTATTTAGTTTTTATTTTATTTATTTATTTTTTATCAAAAAGCAGTCCTAATATACTCTCTCTTGTAATCTTTTACTGTCTATCCTTATCCTCTTTCTGACGTTCGCCTCCGTAGCCATTTTCCATCGCAGTGTAAATATAAAAATAAATCCGATGTTGACAACAGTTTTAATGATAAAACAAACAGAAAACAAGGGAGTGATAGTTGGATGAGGGAATGGGGCAAAACAATGTATTATTTACTGTCCAAAAATTCGTTTGGCGGCAAAGAACTCCAAAATTCTTTTCTTTGCCACGAATTTGACAGCGGCGGCGGTAGCAGACATTTTATGGTCAATATTTATTTATTTTTATGTTTTCTTTTTTTATATGCAGTTTATTTTTTTCAATTTTTGTTTTCTTTATCTTTATTTAACGGAAATTTGTTTCGTGCTGTCTTATTTTACATTTCAGCGTTTATTTTTCTGCCATTTTTCTTTTTTCTCTTCGGTCATTTTTTTAGTATTTGCTGTCATTTTCTTCGATTGAGCAAGACAAAATAAAAATGGCCCCTGACGTTTCGGATTGATTTATCCCCTCGTATTTTATTCGTTGTTGCATATTTCACGATCATGTTGCGGTCTTTAATTATACTGTTTGTCCAATTTGACGGCTTGAGACGCGGACGGGAAGAGAAGAAACAAGAAAGAAAGAAAAACAAAACTTGGTGGAGGCGAAAACGAACGTTGTTGAATTTATGGCGCGGGCTGCGTAAGGGGCGAAATGAAAAAGGCGCGAAAAATTGCACCAATGCTAGCTTTCTGGCTTCCGTTCACGAAACCGTTTGTATCATCTCAACATCGGCTTCTTTATGATAGGGCTCTAGAACTTTTCTGCAAATAAAAATAAAAATCACAACGTTTCGGCCGTTCCCCACTGCCTTAACCAGGTATTGAAATCACAACGCTTTTATCCACTGTCGTCCTCGAGGACACATGGCACAGTAGATAAAGGCGTTGGTTAGATCCAGTGACAGGACCCAAAGAGTGTGAGTTCACTGGAGAACTTGGAGAGGGGAATTAACAGGAGATAACTGATAACAGACATCCATTAGACATGGCACGTGGAACTAGAACAGTCTACCCCAGTGAGCGAAATAAAGGATTCGACATTCCAACCACCTGAAGAAGGCCGGAACGTACAACGGACGAAACGTTGTGATAAATATGGCGACAAAGATGAGGACAATAGTCCGAATAATGTAAATAGGGTACATAATACCTCATCGCAGAAATATAGACAGATACTAAAGGGCCGAAACGTTGTAATAAATATGGTGACAAAAATGAGGACAATAGTCCGAATAATGTAAATAGTTTACATAATAACTCATCTCAGAAATCTAGACCGATACCAAAAATAAAAATGTATCTAGAAAATTCCCATCATAGAAATATATATTTTTACTATTGTTCTCCTAATACAAGACCTAAGTACAATCCAAGGTAGAGGGTTACTTAATGGGAATGATGCAAGTGCGTGTAAGGAGGTTGGCAATATTATGAGGATATGTAGGATAAATAAGGGGTTATCTTCTACTTGAAGACGTTAAGAGTGTAGTGATTAGGGAAACATCCCCTCCGGAGTCTGTATCACATTTCACCAGTTCTGGGGGTGGGGGGAAGCTGTCTAAATAAAACTTGCTTCTCACCAATAGAATATAAAGGAAATGAGGATGAGCCGAGGCAGTGTACATGGCATGGCGGGTTCAAGCTGTGAAGGTCTGAACTGGTGGAACCAAGGAATTTAGTTTCCCCGAACATCTGTCATGAAAATAACGGTAGAGCAGTGGGAGCCTAGCAAAGTTTCATCTGTAGGAAAACAATTCATCACGCACAGGACCGCACAAACTCTTCTGAATTCTGTCGACGTTGAAAAGTGAGGATTGTGCAGCTCCAGCCCAAATATGGCAGCAATACTCTATTGTTTTATCTGATCTGTCTCTTGCGGAGATAGAGCGTTGCAGGAGGAGTCAGTTACTTTCTGGGGCGGTACAGTGAGCCGACCATTTTTGTAATGTCTTTAGCAATGGATCGTATGTATGAGTTCCGTTTAGTTGGAAGGAGTTAAAAGAATGAAATGGGGACAAATTAGAAGACTGGATTAAAACTGTACAAAAATGAGACGGCGGATATTAACGGATTATAGATAGAAATACTAATAACTAATACCGAATTATCTATAAATTTATCTTGTGTGTGTCGGAGGGGAAAAAAGTTCTATACTAACTGTTTCTTCTCTCACACTTCTCACCTGTAGAAGTCTCTTCCGACTTCCTGCTTTACTATCTACTACGATCTTCAAAGATTTAAATGCAACATCAATTGTCATCTTCTGTCTCCTTGAATCCTGGTCTTTCATTGTCTTGCCTGTTTCTCTTACTTTCCTTAACGTCTTTTCACCCTAGTGGCTTCTTTTTAAAACGGGTATTAATAGAGTAATTTTATTTAGCTTAATACATTTATCAACCTTAAAATAAAATGATTTAATTAAAAATTATAAAATAATGAAAGAAATACACTTATATTATGTACTTGTGTGTCTAACAGTGAGAGAAAGAGAGTGTGTGTGTGTGGCAGAGAGAGAGAGAGAGAACGTATGTGTGTGCGTGAGAGAGAGAGAAGGTGTGTGTGTGCGTGTGACAGTGATAGAACGTATGTGTGTGCGCGCGAGAGAGAGAAAGTATGTGTGTGCGTGAGAGAGAGAGAGAGAAAGTGTGTGTGTGTGTGTGAGAGAATGAGAAAATATATGTGTATAACAGAGAGAGAGAGAGACAGACAGAAAGTGTGTGTGTGTGTGTCAGAGTAAAAAACAGAACATGTGTATGTGTGTGTAACAGAGTGAGAGAAAGTGTGTGTATGTGCATGTGTGTTTCAGAGAGTGAGAGAGAGAAGGAAAGAGAAAAAGTATGTGTGAATTTGAATGTTAATTCGACAGAATTGTAAATATATAAGATAATTTGAATTTCTTTTTTTTTTACTTTCATGTTTCACCGACAAATGCAAATGATTAACAAAATATAACAGTAGTAAGTGACTTCCAAAGAAAATTGATGAAAATTCTCAACAATATTTGTTTCTAAATTCAAAGTAACTTCTTACCTTGTCTTTGTAAAAGAGTACTAAACAGTCAAGTATTACCACTCCTCCTATATGGCATTGGATGTGGGAAAATCTCATCACAGATGAAGAAGAGATTTGTGGCAACAGAAATGTGGTTCTACAGAAGGATGCTGAGGATACCATGGACCAAACATGGTCCATGGTATCCTCAATGTAGAGAAAAATGGAAAACAAAAAGGAATCTTATACTTAACATCAGGAACAGACAATTGAAATTTCTGGGACACATAATGAGGAAGCTGAGCTTGAAGAATTTGACACTCACATGATATATTAAAAACAAGAAGGAAATATGAAAACTACGCAAAACCTACCTAGCGATCTTGCGTAAATTTTTGGCAAAACATGGATTAGGAGAGAGAGAACGGAAAGACAATATTTACTAAAAACTACAAAGGACTGATAATTGTGGACAAACATAACCGCCAAGAACACGACACGAAGAAGAAAAAGAGGATTGTTTGATTGGTTCGTTTTTTACGGTTTATCTACCCGCTGCAGGTTATTTAAAGCCGGAAAATATTTTTAGATTGTAAGATTTGTTTTAGATTTGTTTTAGATAATAATAGTTTAATGATATATGTCTAACTAATTAGCACATAGCTGGGGCGGGGAGAAGTGGTAGATTCATACCTTTGCGCGTAAGTGAATATAACGACCCCAGTGATAATTGGGACTCGGCTCTCCGATTAACAATTCTGAGCTATTGTCCATTAAACCACCCGCACATCCAAACTTATACCACCTGTTATTCCCAAGCGGTTACCCATCTAAATAGTGACCAGGCTCTACGTGCCTCGTTGCTTATCTTCGATGATCATATGTGAACCGGTGTTCCAATGTGATGTGGCTGGCTGGCTGGCTGGCTAGATAGATAGATAGATAGATAGATAGATAGATAGATAGATAGATAGATAGATAATGCTGGTTGAAATCTCGTCGGAATTACTACTGTATGACCTCATTCATATATATATATATATATATATATATATATATATATATATATATATATATATATATATAGGTGAGGTCCTACGTCTATTGCGGGTGTGTAGAATACTCATTAGACTTGCGCTAACGAAACCAACACAAACCTTATTAAAAAAAAAAAAAACAGGTTTACCTAAGTTAGACGGTATCCGAGGTTTTCTTTTATTTCTTTTGAGCTGAGTTCGGTCATCCCCTTCAACAAAGTTTTCAGACTATATTGCAGGAATGGCCAGCCCTTTTCCGACTAGTCGGCCGCATGATATGTGGTGTATCACAAGGCGCATCGCACTACTAAAAGGATTCATGACAATTTATTAATTTGAAAATAAATATTTATTCTTTAGAGAAAAAAATATTATGAATGTTTCCTGTTTAAAAAAGCAAACGATGTTTACACGTATGATCTTCCTTAGTGAAAATTGCCAATGGTTTAAAATGTTGAAAACGTTACGAAAGAATAAAAATCAATAAACATTGTACTTAATCATTAATTTATTTACGTGGTGATTTATGAGAGAGTGTGCGAGTGAACAAGTGAGAACAAAATGAAACATCATTTTTAGAAACGTTATTTTCCTTATGAAATTAAATGTGCCATTCGGAAAGACACTAGGGGCTGCATGGAGCCCGGGGGCCGCCGTTTGCCATTGACTGCGAAATTGTATGGGTATACCAGGTGGATTTAATTTTATGTCTTGGACTCTGTGCAAAAGTTTACTCTTATGATATTTCTCTTTTGCTTTTACTAAAAGGTATCTAATTGCTCTTCCTTTCGTTATTTTTAATTTATGCTCGTTATCTCTCATATGGGAGAACGGTGTCAGAAAGATTGTGTTACGCCAAGCTTCACACCCAGTTGAGCAGATGCCGGACTAAGCGCGTCTTATAAAACATTTTAAAATAAGTCTCGTTGCCCATTCCTATTTACTTGTTTGTAGGCACATCTGAGAACGTCTTTGTACATGCATCATACATTTATTGAAACCGGTTCTCGTACGAGTAGCGAAGTTAAGCAACGTCGATCCTGGTCAGTACCGACAAGGGTGACTATTTGGGAAAGACCAGTTGCTATAAACTTTGGTCTGCGGGTGGTGTAATGGATCAGAATTAATAATCGGAATTCTAATTTCAGCCGGATTCGTTATATTCACTTAATGGCAAATACCCTTAGGAAAGGCATGAATCCATCTCTTCTCCTCCACAAGCTATGACTTAATTGGTAGGGCCTGTAACAATAAATCATTATTATTGCCAAAAGTTTCTAAAAAATATTCTGGCTTTAAATAACCTGAAAAAAAGCTGATAAACCGTAAAAGAAAAAACAAATCAATCAATCATTTGATCGTTTCAAACTTCAGCAGAGGCCGCCTGTATATCATCTTTATATTGGAACAGGGCCCCGAAATGGTTTACTATTTTATGCTCTTTTCGTTTTTTTGCTACGAGCTGACAACTGTAATCTACTTTGCAATGTTTGGTTTTATATCTATAATTCAATGTTTCTCTGTCTGTCTGTCTGTCTCTCTCTCTCTCTCTCTTTGTGTGTGTGTATGTATGTGTGACAGAGATAGTAAAAGAGAGACAGAGAGAAATAGACTGGATTAATTCCAAGTTAATTTTGTCTATAACTTTCCTATTGGGCCAGTTTCCATGAACAGGTATAAAATAACGCCAAGCTGATCGTAAGTGAAATCTGTAATAAATAAAACAACATCAGAAAAGTAAAGATTGGAAAAGTTTTATGACAACGTGGATGAAAGAAGTCAAAACCCAGAAAGCTTCAATGAAAGAAGATATCGTTGTGAGAAATGGCAGCGAAGGATACATACATACATACATACATATACACACACACACACACACACACACACACACACACACATATATATATATATATATATATATATATATATATATATATATATATATATATATATATATATATATAAGAAAATTAAAAACATTTTTGCTGGATTACCTATGATTGATATGAAGGCTACGAATGCGTTCAGGTTGATGAAAACAGAAGAAAAGAAAAGAAAAAACATTTATAACGCGTAGATATTTGACGAAAAAGAAGGAAGAAAGAAAAAATAAACGACAAAAATAAGATAAAAGCGACATAATAACATAAAGAGAAAAGCTAAGAGTAGAAATGAAAACCATTCAATTGAAATCAGTAAGACGTCAGAGAAACAGACAAGCGTTTTCATTGGAAGATAAAACAGTCTGAATAGCGTCTGTCTGTAAATAGATATTCCCACATTCTATAAAACAAACTATGGTCTGTATACGAAAATATGATAAAGATACTAGTCCTAGTACGATCACCGAAGTTAAGCAATGTCGATCTTGGTCAGTATCTATATGGGTGACCGTTTGGGAATAACAGGTGTTGTAAGCTTGGATGTGCGAGCGGTTTGCCTTACGGCCATTTCAGGTTGAAGCACCGTTTATCGTATGATCACCTCAGTTAAGCAACATCGAGCTTGGTCAGTACCTAGATGGGTTACCATTTGGGAATGACAGATAATGTAAGTTTGAACGTGTGTCGGTGTAATGGTTAACGGCTCGGAATTGGAAGTCGGAAAGTTGAGTTCCAATTCCAGTCGGGTTCGTTATATTTACTTACCCGCAAATACTCTTAGGAAAAATTTGAACCCTCCTCTTCTCCCCCACCAGCTATGTGTTAGTTAGTAAGAATTGTATCAGTAAATCATTATTATCTCCATAAAAAAAAATCTTATAATTTAAAAATATTTTATGGCTCTAAATAACCCACAAAAGGTTGATAAGCCGTAAAAACAGATGAATCAACCAACCAATCAATATACTCTTAAGAAGCACTTATTCGCATAGAGCTAGTTTAATTTTCTTCGGAAATGTCATTACGCTCGATTTACTACAAGCAGATTATGTCCACGCGATGCATTACACATAAATTAGTTGATTGGAAAGAAAAGAAAAAAAAGAAAAGAAAAAAAACAGAAATAAACGAAGATCAAGAAAACACTGATGAAGACGTGAATTCAGTCCCCTGGTTGAATAATGCTACAAAGTCATATATACTAGCTCAGTAGAAGGAACAGACAAATGCCACTAAGTTGAATAAAACTATTAAGCACTAATCGATATGAAATATTCACTAACCATATAAAGTACAAAGAAAACATTGATAAATTTTCAATACAAAAATCACCCGTAATTACCTGCGTGTTATGCGTTTCTAATTTTTTAGACAAGTTTGAGTGGCAAATTTACTGGTTTTCTTCGCAAATACAATCTAACATCATCAGAATAGAAATTAAAAAAAATCTAAATATCGGTCATTTCATCACCAAAGTCGGTTTTTACGTCTGGAACACTGTTAAAAGGTAGAGAGGCATTATTGTAATTAGTGGCTTTCCAATTAACCTTGCACTATTGCCGTTCATTGAGAGTCGATTTCAACCCCTGAAGAAGAATCATTATCAGTTACTGAATAATAATTATTGTCTGACGAAGAGTCATCTGAGGAGTCTCTATCACAAAACGAAATTTCCCATTCATCTTGTGGCAAATCACGAAAGTTATTTTCGGTTTCTTCAACCACTGCAAATCAACAGATTTTGACTAACAAGAAATTTTAATGAACGAAAACCTCACCTTTCAATAGAAAAAACTCCAATGACAAAAAAAAATAACAATGACTTACTTTAAAATTTCCTTCAGTGGCATTAAATTATTACGTATTTATCGGCTGCATAACAAAAACTAATTTTAAAAAAAAAAGCAAACTCCCACCAAACGCGGGATGTGGGTAAATATTTTTGTTTATTCCTAAAAGTACAAATTAGGGATGCAAAAATTAAAATATTAGTCTCTTTAAGTCCTGGGTCAACCGATATACATTCTACTCATCTTCATAATAGCCTCTTACTTATCCTTTCCCCACTCCCTTACAGTCTCCCTTAGTAACTAATTTGAGTGGCCATTGGGCTTTGTATTGGGTGAATTATCATTAAATAAAAATAAAAAGGAGTTCGTTAAAATTTTCTCTCGTCAAAACCATCCGACGTTTAATAGTGGCAAGGAGAAATTACTGTCGACCCACGAAACTTTTGACTTTGCTCTTAACATAGTCATTGGCTTTGTGCTTCTAGTAGGAGATGTGACGAAGCTTTCTCAAGCATTTATTCTCGAATCCAGGAGTCTCCAAATTTCACACACGTATTGGAGGATGATATACACTTGCACACTGCCAAACAATTCACAATATGTTGATCCAAAAGCGTTTGGTGTTAGTGAATCGTGAAGGAATTGTTTGTATTCCCAATAATGAGCGACTGCACATCGCTTGCGGAGAACAAGTCAAAAAGCTTTATGTCGTGTCACTGTCCTATTTACCATCCATCCGTTATAAGTCATCTGAATATCTTCTTTTATCTTATATACTAATGAAGCATGTGACTTTTTTTGCATGTTTCTTTTGTTTCTCTGTCTCTAACATCTGTCATACCGTGAAACACAAAACAATCCCTATGCTACACTCAATTTCATTTAAAATAATATAATTCACTTTTCAAATATTGAAACAAATGTTTATATATATATATATATATATATATATATATATATATATATATATATATATATATATATATATATATATATACAAAGTTTTATTACAAACTAGTAACAAGGTACTGCGGTTAATTTTTTTTTCTTGTGTTCTTATAATTTTCTTCCTTTCAGGACGTAGATTATCTAGAAATTGTCCAAATTTTCTGTATGTTCGAGCGCTTTCGGCAATACAAGGATGGTTTTATTTTTACTTTTGAATAAATTTATGGATTGCTTTATGCATATATTCAGAGTTATAGGAATGTTTTACTTGCCAAACACGGTCAGTTAATTGTGGCCGTGTTCATAGTTGATATTTTTTCTTTGTTTATTAATAATGCTTTCATATTTTTAGCCATTTTTACATGTGGATGAGGTTATTATATTTGTATTATCAACGTGTATGTTTAGGCTAGTGTTTGGTAAGTCTCCATGTGTATTTAAATGAAACCTAATTGAGCTGTGGCCAGAGAGATGTAACGTGAGTTATCTTCTTAGGTACGAATGTAGTATATCCAATATAATTGTATATGAATTTTGAATGATCAGTGACACACTTCCTTAAGGGATATGTGCGTTCGTAAATAATAATGGTTCTCAATAATTTGGATATTGCAGGTGAGTTACCACATAACACTCTTGAGCGCTTAGCCTTGGGGCGGGTAGAATGGAGATCAACGTGTTTTAGTGGACTCAGCAGTTTTCAATCTGCTTGTCTGAATCATCTTCAAGAAACCAGAGCAAGAACTAAAAGGTCAGCCAATCTAACAGTGATCTCATCTCACAATCCTCACTTTTGCTCCATATATGGCCTCCTTTGTAAATCACTAGCGGGTCTTAAATGCCACTTAAGATTATCGCACAAAATTTCATAACTGAATTAACTTAGCTGTCAGATCCTCATACGTCGAAACCGACGGGAGAGTCCATTATTATATATATATATATATATATATATATATATATATATATATATATATATATATATATATATATATCTTCACAAATTCACGATAACTAAGGTTTAAAATTAATTTAAATTTTTTTTTCAAAATGAAAACAAGTTTTATAAAAATTCATTGTCCATCGAAAAATAATTTTCTTAAGACAATAGAATCCATAATATATCTTATTCATAAAAGCAATTTAAAACTTTTCTAATTCAATAATGTCTTAATTTTATTTCATTTTTTATTTTACGGTTCAGATCAGATTTTCGATAACTGGAGAAAATGGATTATTTACATACACCTGCGTATAACATTATGAGGTACAAAAATTAATTTCTAGAAATTTCATAAAGTTAAATAAGTGGAGGGTACAAATGTAAAATAAAAGTTTTTAGCAAGATTTTCTAAAAAAAGAAACATTTCTAAAATAATTTAATTCATTTGTGAATAAAACCTGAAAGTTTCATTAAAATCCAACAATTATTTGATTTTTGAAAAGAATTTCCAAATCAATGTGTTTTTCACCACAAAAAAGACGCTAAAATTTCCTATACTAACTTTGGTCACCCGCTGACGCAAGAAAAACAAAATGTTTAACCAAAATTTCGAACGTTCTAAAAAGGATAAAAAAAATATTATTTAATACACAAAAAATCCATTGGACATTCCTCTTGATAATAACATAAACATTTTGACGATTGCTCAATCCGATTTACTCATAACTTTTACAGTCCTGGGTATTTTCAGGATTACACAAATAATTCAGAAAGAAAAATCTCAGATTGTTGCAAAAAGAAATAAAATGTACATATAAAGACATTTTTATGTTTATACATTCTTTTTATAGATACAAATATTTAAGTAAATGCTCTGTTTATAATAAACAGTATTAATAACATTTACCGGTCTGAATGTCCGAGAAATTTTCATAGAAAAATATTCGTCCACCGACAGGAATCGAACCTGTATCCTATACGGAACCGTCATATAGCTTGACGTGCCTTAACCGATTGAGCCACAGAGGATGGTTTGGTTAGCAAGGTCGATTTTACTGCTTTTAAACTACAATCTTCCATGAATCTCTCACGTACATTCATACCTGCTCAATACGTATCTACTCAATGCTCAATGCCTATCCAAATGTAAACAAATGACGTCACACATTATGAAATGGACAACGTCCAACAATTATATTTGTATCTATACAAAGAATGTATAAACATAAAATGGCTTAAAATAATTGTCAGACTTTGTCCATTTCATATATATATATATATATATATATATATATATATATATATATATATATATATATATATATATATATATATATATATATATATATATATATATATATATATATATATATATATATATATATATATATATATATATATATATATATATATATATATATATATATATATATATATATATAGTTTTATTTATTTATTTTAAACACACAAAATACATAGACACGCAACTCATTTTTTCGCCTTCAATACATAGTTGGATTTTTTTTCGAAAAATTATACATTCCTGAACGTTTTTCCAATTGATAATATATATATATATATATATATATATATATATATATATATATATATATATATATATATATATGACTGATCGATTGGGTTTCGATCTGGGCTTGAAGTATTCGGATGTCTAATCACACTGCATACAGCGAAACAGTACTGTTCAGAATGACATATATATATACATATATATATGCACACAAAGGATTACGTTTTACATAGATAGATAGATAGATAGATAGATAGATAGATAGATAGAAAGATAGATAGATAGATAGATAGATAGATAGAAACAGTACTGTCTGTGAATGACATATATATATGTTTGTGTGTGTGTGTGCACAGAAAAGATTACGTTTTACATAGATAGATAGAAACAGTGCTGTCTGCGAATAACACATATATATATATGTCTGTGTGTGTGTGTGTGTGTGCACAGAAAAGATTACGTTTTACGTAGATAGATAGATAGATAGATAGATAGATAGATAGAAACAGTACTGTCTGCGAATGACATATATATATATATATATATATATGCACAGAAAAGATTACGTTTTACATAGATAGATAGATAGATAGATAGATAGATAGATAGATAGATAGATAGATATTTCTATATATCAAAAACAATATTGGGGAGAAATGTATGATGAAGTGGAAAAGGTTTTCCTGTGACGCGTTTCGTCCTTTAACACTTCATCGCGGCAACTACACATGCGCACAAACCAGGAATGCTGGGAAACTTAAATTATTATTTTATTATTTAGCCCTGGTTCGTGCACATGTGTAGTCGCACCAACATAACAAATTTAGTCTGATGAAGTCAAAAGGTCGACACGCGTCACAAGAAATCTTTTTCCACTTTGTCATATATTTTTCCCCCATATACCGCAATCCTTTGGGTATAGATTGCTATGGAGTGTAAGACACAGTTAAAAAGCAGAGAAGAAGGATAAAAGGCTTTTTTTCATGTATTAAACGCACCTACATATATATTTTCGCCATTTTATACTTTTTTATACTTTTAATTTCGCACATGCGCGTTGTTTATTTATGATTTTGCCGACTGCACAGTATAGTGGTGTCAGTTGGGCAACGTTTGTGAGAAAAAGAGCATCATGTCGCAATTCATTGCGCGAGAAATTTGGAAACAGCATGCTCTACTGCTTGGCATTCGCGCCGGAAACTTCCATACGAACATTTCAGAGTGTTTGGGTGTCAATCTAAGGACAGTGTACAGGATTCGAAAAGAGTTGGATGTGTCTAATGGTGATTACGAAGATGTTTGAAGTAATCACTAGTGATGGCGACGTTATGCCTCCATTTTCCCACAGGAGGCCTACATCAAGTGCTTTGAGGAGGTAATGCTGCCCTGGGTCAAGAAGTAGTAACAGGACTCTTCTCCACACAAGCAAGAGAACCCTTTCATGACTGTCAGACAATTTCTGCGACCACATCACCCCTTACATCTGGCTACCTAATATTTGGGGCGCAGTTGAACCAACAAAACTCTTTGCAACACCAAAGATGAACTAAAAGCAAGGATTATGGCAATATTCGCCAACATAAACAAGGAGACCTTCCAGAAGAGATGCAAAAGATTCCGAAATTGTTTGGAAGCCGTGGTTGAAGCCAATGGCGATTTTATTGAATAAATTTACTCTTTAGTATTTCAAGATATTTTTGTGTAATTTTGGTAAATATATCTGTTAAAATGAGATGCCAGTGTTAGTTTCATTTTTGCGTAATTTAGGCGACAATTCATTCATCGCAGTGTGTGTGTGTGTGTGTGTGTGTGTGTGTGTGTGTGTGTGTGTGTGTGTGTGTGTGTGTGTGTGTGATCGCTGCTTGGATGTGCAGGTGGTGTAATGGATAACGACTCGGAATTGTTAATCGGGTATCCGAGTTCCAATTACATTCAGGTGTTCGTTATATCCACTTGCGCACAAATGCCCTTTGGAAAGCTATGAAGACATCTTTTCTCCTTCTAGTTATGGGTTAATTACTACGTCTTGTATTATTAAATCATTATTATCTCCAAAAAGAAAACAGAAATTCTTACAATCTAAAAATATTTTCTGGCTTTAAATAACCTGCAAAATGTTGATAAGCCGTAAAAAAAAAAACAGGTCATTAGAATATATAATGTGTGTGTTTCTTTGGGTACTTGAAGGCATACTGTTTATATGCACAATAATATGCGGGCTTTCTATTAAGTATATATTTTGAACCCTTCTCAAAATACGTGACCCCGCTCGTAAGCCAACGAAACACGGTGGCAGATGTCAAAAGAACCTTCAAGGTACGAATAAACAAGATAATTTGATTAAATAAAAACAATGTATGAGGTAAAAAAAATATCTTTCAAAACAATGAAATATATAAAACGGAAAAGAAACTAAGAACAAACAGGAAGCAAAAATATTCAGTAAAAAAATATTCTTTTTTATTTTTGCATGTTTTCAAATATCTTTTTTATTTTTGCATGTTTTTAAATATCTTTTTTATTTTTGCATGTTTTTAAATATTCTTTTTAAATTCTTTCTTTTATTATTACGTCGCTTATTTTTCTGTTCTTTCTTTCTCACTCCGTTTTCATTTCTATTTCTCTCTCCACTTTTCCGTGTAAAAAAAAAAAAAGACACCAGCAAACAAAACGGTGCCAATGACAGGCAAAAAACAGAACGTGTTTACTTTTCGATGCAGAATAACGTGCGAAAGTAGCTGAGCGAATATGAGAAAAGACACTGGGGACACGTTGGTGTCATTGGTGGCCAGTTTTGACGGTGGCCGTCGGTGCGTGTCGAAACGTCGTCTTCGTCCGACGTTAGCTCTTCAAATCCGGCGCGATCTCCCTTGAAATTGTGAAGAATACAATGGGTGGAGATGTCGTGGTGTGTAAGAGGATGAATGAGAGGAGATGATCATCTGGGAGGCCGGGGGGTGGGGATAAAAAATGAAAAAAAGTTGAAGAATGAGGAGAAGGTGAAATGACAGTCAAGAAAAAAAATAATTTTTTGACTTCTTGAAGAGAACTCCTTGATTTTCAAGCTCATCTGTCGGCCCAACAAGGAACAATGTCCAGTAATGCTCGACTGCATATGATTTGGGGTTTGTTTTATTTTATTTTATTTTATTTTATTTTTTATTTATTTATTTATTTGCGTTACAGAGTATCCACGAATATAGTTAACTCGTCTGTGTGTGTGTGTGTGTGTGTGTGTGTGTGTGTGTGTGTGTGTGTGTGTGTGTGTTACAGAAGTCTCGCGTAATCACGTTAAGTCTCGCGTGTGTTTATATGTATAAGCGTTTTTCTACATAGTCTGTAGATAGTTACCAAATACTATGTAGTCTGGTAAAAGGCCAAAAAATATATGATACCCCAAAACTTATCACATTTAAGAAATGTTGTATCCTTAAAAAGGTTACAGACAAAGTGGTACTTGAGTGGAAGGAACAGCAACACGGGCTTTGATGGAAGAAAGGTTTATTGTAAAAGAGAATGCACTACTGAAAGACGGGGAGTCGACTAACACTTTCCGAAGCCAGTCAGAGAGACAGACAGACAGGCAGACCCTGGTATGTCCTGTACACACTACATATATTACTGATATATTAATCCACAATAAATAATAGGGAGAGTGGAACATTCCATTACAGCAAGAATTTTATTAAAACTGAGGTTCTTAAGCAGATCATTAATACAAAGCAAAAAATGCTAGGGCCGACGAGAAAATCTTTGGGGACACCAGTTTTGATCTTATGTTTCTACGAAACATCGTTCTACGGTAGATACTTATGGTATTTTTTATACTATTGTTTACGGAAGAGACAAAACGGACATTTTATCAAAAACGCGTTTCGCCGGTGTGCATATGTTCTTTTAGGCATCATCAGTTTGAAATCATTTGACAGACAAACTGATGATGCCAAAGAGAACATAAGCCTTCTGTAGTGAAACGCGTCTCTGATAAAAAAAATTTCCACTTTGTCTCATCATCTTCACTATTGTTTACCAAATATAAAAAAAATCAATCAATAAGATGCAAAACATTTTTATTTAATAGAAGAACAGTCTGGCTTCATAAAATATACCTTAAACAAAATAAATTAAGTTATTAAATTAATGATATAATTTTTTTTCCAAACCATAAAAACAAAAATATTATGGGATAAGCCTATACGGAGGAAAAGATTATGGAACGATCCTGTTTATTTGCATTTCTAAAACAAATACAGAAGCGTTGATATGCAAATAGATCTACATTTAAAGGAGAGATTTCGAAGACCTCAGCAAGCGGTTAGGAACATCTAATTGAAAGGAGACATGACTTCAACAAAAGGATTGTCGATTGAAACAATGGAAAGGATCGTAAAATTCATTCAACAGTGTAGCGTATCTAAATTTACGTGCAAATATAAAATAAATGACGGCTTACGGCCATATCACGTTGAAACATCGATTTCCGTACGATCACCGAAGTTAAACAACGTCGAGTCCGGTCACTACCTAGATGGGTGACCGCTTGAAAATACCAGGTGCTTTAAGCTTCGAAGTGCGCGTGGCGTAATGGATAGCCATTGCTGGGAATTGTTAATCGGATAGCCGAGTTCCAATTCCAGTTGGGTTCGTTATATTCACTTACGGAAGAAAGGTATGAATCCACCTCTTCTCAACAAAAATAAATTCTTACAAACTAAAAATATTTTCTGGCTTTAAATAACCTGCAAAGGGTTTGTGCGAGTCTATCACGCACATACATACATACATACATACAAAAATACAAATCACATACAACGCCAAGCATTCATTGGTTAATTAATCACCACTACGTTATTATAGACAATTTACAAATCGCAGTAATGCGACAATTTTGTAATCGCTCTATTTTCATGTGGTCAGTTTTGTGCACTTTTGGAAGAAACGGATCACAAGAAGTTTTCTTAAGTCTCCCCAAAGGTCGCTCGCTGATTGGTCTATGCCAACCAATCAGATCATCTGCACGTGAACTTTTCCCGCGCAGCGATCTGGAGCCTATAGTCACTTATTTAAGCAAAAGTTTTTCTTGGCTAATTAGTGAGAATTCAGCTGCAATACGAATCCACGACAGTTGAAACCATGCGCCAAACTTCTCACTCGCACACACCACTCACATGCTGAACATACTTTGTATATACTAGCATAATCTTACACAGCAAAAGCTTGCAAGTACAAACATTACAAAAGACTCTCATGAACATTCTTCCAGTGAACCTGAAACACTAAAATAACAGTTAAAGAGAGACAACTCTTATTTTATTCAACCTTTTCCTACTTAAATGCATGCTTTCTTTCACATCGTTGTTTGATATTGTACATCTTGTTAAATACATATTTTATGTGTAACAATGTCTTTGGCTTATCCTTTTCTGCGTCAGCCCTGTTTCCTAATCTAAAGTTAAATTAATGTGGTGAAGTCCGACACAGGTTGATAAGCCGTAGAAAATGAATTGATCAATCAACCGTTACATTAACCCACGTCTTGAACGGCCACTCTTCTAGATCACTAGGAAATGTATTAATCCACCACCTCCTCCATCCCAGTTATAAGTTCATTATTAAGACTTGTACCACTAAATCATTATTATCGTCAAAAAAAAAGAAACTCTTAGAATATTTTCTGGTTTTAAATATCCTGCAAAGGGTTGATAAGACGTAGAAAAGGAATCGATCATTCAGTTAAACATAAATGGAATGGTTAAAAAGAAAAGAAAAACGCACTGGTAGACGACGAAAGACATTAAAATGTCAGGATATAAAACAAAGCAACATGCCTTTGAAATGTGAAAATGAGTGTGGCCCTGTTGATGAGTGCTTCCCTGAATACCACATCTTCTCCGACGAGACCGCTCTGCACCTATCCTGCGACCCCATGTTGTGTTTCAACATCCGCAGGAATATCGGCAAAGACATATTGAGGATCAGGCTTGACTCCTCTCTGTCCTAACTTGACTGCTCTCTGTCTTCGCTAACCTTGTGAAAGACTAAAGTCACCTGCGTTGCCAGTAAACTTAATTGACTTCAACAACATTCATTGACAAGTGTAAAAGTAACAACTTTTACTATGATTAAGATCATGAATACATAAATAAACGGATTTGAAGAACTCTCCCCATATAAGGAATTCTTGAGTTCGGAGGAAAAGGTTTACTGGCGGTTGAAGTTATAGCTAAACACCCCAGAGTCGTTCAACTGTTTAAATGACGGCAGCTGATCGATGGAGTTCAGAAGAGTGGCGTAAAGAATAGGTCTTTAGCTAATTGCGGCACCTCTGGCAAGGAGAGTGTTAGTCTACTAGCGGTGAGAAAGGATTTGATCTTATTGCTGCTCTTTCGGTAACTGCTTTTATGGAGGTGCAAACCCCAATTGCACTTCCTTGATTGACCAGCTCATAATAATGGTTGACCAATGTTCTTGGGTCATACGCCTTGAGGGGGAGGAAGGAAAGTCTCCCCAAGAACCCAATATGATTGTGTCTCCAATAAAAATAATGGCCCTGTGTAGTATGTATCGAAGATGGAGACGAAAAACTCCACCCCAGCCCTTCTCTCATTGGCGGGCTAATCAAAATTATGGCATTGCATCGCTCATATCTACCTTCAATGGATCATTTTCCATATTCCGGAATCTCCCCGTCATTTTACCTGATTACCACAGGTGTCATCGTCACCTCTATCTGAAAGTGTGTTATATGACTGCTCAGAACAAACCTGGCTTGTAAAGATTTGCTTTGTATAACTCATTTTAATGAACAATTCCTTTCTCAAATGATAACAACACTTAAGTTAAACAGATCTAAGCCCTAAGACTGTACTTAACGACCAATCCTCCACAATCTCACAATTTTACCTCTCACCGTATACACTATAAGAATATTTCTGGTATCGCAATGTTTTAACATGAGAAATATTTTATTTTCTTTAGAAATATAAATTTGATCGGAACTGGTCAAATGAAATTTAAGAAAGTAATCATGGTGTCATAATGATTATAAAAATCAAATAAATGAAAAGAAATTGAATGAAATGGGAACTGAAAAACCGTCAGTGTTTTTAATGAATTGAACTGTAAGAAACCGGTTTAATGAAATGAGAGATGTAAGAAATTAGCCTAATGAAATGGGAACTGTAAGAAATTGCATTAATGAAATGGGAACTGTAAGAAACCGGATTCATGAAATGGGAACTGTAAGAAACTGGTTTAATGAAATGGGAAGTGTAAGAAATCGGCCTAATGAAATGGGAACTGTAAGAAATTGCATTAATGAAATGGGAACTGTAAGAAACCGGATTCATGAAATGGGAACTGTAAGAAATCGGATTCATGAAATGGGAACTGTAAGAAATTGGTTTAATGAAATGGGAATCTGTAATGAAATGGGAACTGTAAGAAATCGGCCTAATGAAATGGGAACTGTAAGAAATTGCATTAATGAAATGGGAACTGTAAGAAACCGGATTCATGAAATGGGAACTGTAAGAAATTGGTTTAATGAAATGGGAACTGTAAGAAACCTACCTCATGAAATAGGAACTGTAAGAAATCCGCTTAATGAAATGGGAATTGTAAGAAATCCGCTCAATGAAATGGGGTTTACATGCTGAAAAGTCGAACGAAAACTAGTCAGTCAGTCAGTTAAGTGCCATACTTAATAAACACTTGGGCGATCATATCTTTTTCGATCCCTGACTGACTAGGCAGAAGATCTTCCTGCCATAGTTTACCATTTCTTTCTGTGTTCGACTGGTTGCTAACCAAGGCTATAGAACTCAATCTGTCCTGCTATTCAACCCATAGCTTGATAGTGAAGTGATGAATTCATACCTTTCCCAAGGTTATTTGCGAGTGAGTGAATGTAACGAATTTGACTGGAATTCCAACTCGGCTCTTCGATTTTTCATTCCGAGCCGATATCCATTACAGTACTAGTACTAACACAAGAATGTCGATCAAGAACTATTACTAACACGCAGAGAGAAGAAAATGAGTTTTAGTTGGCTAAATAGAATTAATCATGACCTGTGAATAATTCGTTGAACGTGATATTCAGCAATGAATCAAAAATCTGCATTGGCCAAGGCGATGACGCTGGAATTTTTGCCTGACGCCATTCAAATGTAAAATATAACAATGACTGCCTGAAGAAAGCAAGTAAATTTGCCAAGTCATTCCTGAGACGGGGCTGCAGATCATTTAAAAGATCAGAGGAGATGATAGTCATTACCCCAACAATCAATGCACAAGTGTACTTTAAAATCGTGGATAATTCTGTCATTTTATTCATAGAAAATTGGTTTGGTGATGATGGTATTCTTTTTTCAAGATGAAATGCATCTTGTCACGGGACAAATGGATTCTGCAGAAAAGGCCTATAAAATTGATGACAACGGTTATGATTTAAATCCATTTGAAAATCCATGTTGGCAATTTAAAAAATGGTTCATGACAAGGTTCAATCCACCAAAGAACTACTAACTTCCATTCTAGAAATTTCGCACCACTTTGATAAAGAATATAGAGAAATCCATGCCTGTGAGAATTAAGGCTGCCATAAAAAGGGCTACTAAGTATTAATTCTCATTTTTGCGTCGATTAATTCCGTAAAGTTTTTTGTCAATATTGGGTTATTCCATACTGTTTTCCTTCGTAAAAATTATGCCAGTAATTTAAATAATTGACTCGACTTTGTTTTAAGGTATACTTAGATGAAGTCAGAATAATCAGCTATTAAATATTTTTTTTATTGATTTGTTTTTTTATGACTTATCAATTTTTACAGGTTATTTAAAGCCATTTTTTAGATGCTAAGAATTTTTTTAAGATAATGATTTACTGATACAAGTCCTACCATAGTAAGTGGATTCATCATTTTCCCAAGAGTATTTGCGTGTATGTCAATATAACGAACTCGTCTCTTTCCAATTCCGAGCCGTTATCCAATACACCACCCGCACATCCAAGTCTACAGCATCTGGGATTTCTTTAAAAAGATTTTCTAAGCGTAGCTTAGATGTGGCACAAAGCCAAAAGTATGGAGCACCCAGTGAGAATCGAACTCGCTGCTCAGTTATAATTAATCAAGCAAGACAAGTTTACTAAACATTACACCACGTGGAAGTGCTCATTACTAAGCGTAGCTTAGGTGTAGCACAAAGCTGAAAGGATGGGGTACCCAGTGAGGATCAAACTCACTATTCAGTCGATGATTTTCTAAGAATAGATTAGATGTGACACAAAGGCCGAAAGTATGTGGCACCTAGTGAGAATGGAACTCAATTTGCAATTGATTTAGCAAGACAAGCTTGCTAGCCATTGTGGCACCATTTACGAGGCAGAGAAAGGAAGAGAAAGAAAAGAAGGCAGAAAGAAATGCGAGACGATTCATAGGTGATAAGCAGACACACACACGGCTAAGAGACAATGAAAATATTGATAAGTAACAATGAAAAGGGTGTCATTACAATGACAGGGAATTTCTGAGTAAAAAAGAAAAGGAAAAGAAAG